TAATTTGTGGCTGTTAAGTTACTTTGTTATGAATTTTCATGTGATATAGATTAAGACATCATTAAGGACATGGATTAAAGATAACACTGTAGGCGAGTTAATATATATTAATTGTATTTACAAACAATACTAAAATCCAAACAATACATCTATACACACATCTTAGTATTTGGTCCAGCCACCCATTGCATTCAGGACTTCATCAAGGCGATTAGGGATGGAATGGACCAGCTTCAGGCACACCCCTGGTCGTCGACGTATACTCTCCCACACGTCGTAAGCTTTGGCCTCTATTGCTGCGCAGGTTCGCTGCTCCCCAATATCCCAATCACTTTTCATCACGGCCCAAATATGTTCAATCGGATTAATATCACATCCTAGTGTTGGCCAGTCGATGACCTCAATTTCAGGGTGATCCTGGAGGTAGTCCTTCACTATGTTGCTGGTATGAATGGGAATGTTGTCATGAACCAGCCTGATAGTGTGGGGGGCTGGAACTGCCATAGCCCGGACTGTAGGAATTAGTACTTGCTCCAGGATGTCTACATACTGCTCACCAGTGAAACGGCCATTGATCTTGACCAGTTCACCTGGCCCATGTGCCCACATCCACCCCCAGAATGACAATGACACCCTACCACTCACTGCGCGATGTTGAATGTGTTTCTCATGGTAGTGTGTGTTGGGGGGCCGCCAGCACTGCCTTGCTTCGGCTCCCACTGACCTGAACACCGTTTCATCGGTAAATAAAACGGTTCTCCAGTATTCTTCTCTATGTGGAAAGTGTTCCAATGCAAAGCCGAGTCGACACTCCTTGTGAGTAGGTGTTAGCCACCCTTTGTGAGCTGGAATATGGCAGTCGATTCCGGCTTCATGAAGTCGGCTTCTCGTCGTCATGTGATGGCAGTTGAGGCCCAAATTTCTTGTATGCTCCACTGATATTTGCATTGGATATGCCGTTGCAGATGCCACTATCATGGCGTCCATCCTTGCCGACGTTACTCGTGGCCTCCCTCTTCGAGGTTTCGTCTCCACTGAGCCCTCTTCCTCCCACCGGCGGATCCACCTCCTAATCGTCTTGGTGCTCCTTCTCACTTCGACAGCATTGTTCGGCACAGTTGCCCCGGCTCTCCACATCCCGATGATTTGGCCTTACTTAGCAATCACTGCCGACGAATTTGCTCGTCCTGCAGGCATATCTGAAATGGCAGAGTAATATTTTGTTGTGGTAATTGATGCAGGCTTTTATATACTAGAGTAAATTAATGGTATAAGTAACACCAAGGTTAAGTATTATTACTCTGACATAACGTTTTGGTAAATCTTTTAGGATCAACTGCCCAAGAAACCCTTCCTATTTCATGTATTCATAGTGAACTGCAAGTGGACCCCCTCCCCAAACCTCCGCCACCACCCCTGCGACTGAAGAGTGAACATTCGCCGATAATCATCATCATCATCAAGATTTAGTTAAACCAGACCACTGACACCCATTTGAGTCTCTCCTAGGGCTGCCCAGAGGGATTAGTTAACATATATGTGTGTTTCTATAATTTAGTGTTATATTGTTTGGAGGAGATTACAGGATTTCAAAAAGGTAAAAACTGAACTTAGGAAAAATTTTGGGGTCTCTGCTAAAATATCTTACATTGTAAGGTTAGTGAAGCACATTGTTCGATACCGATTATAAATAGGGCATTCAATGAGAATATGTTGGACTGTTATTTGTGTTCGGCAGTTGGAGCATATAGGTGGGGCTCCATTAGGGGAAGACGTGAGTTGGCCATGAGTCAATCGCGTATGCCCAATTCTTAGACGATTCAGAATAGTTTCGTGATGTCGAGAGGATTGTTTTGATGGTGACCAAGGATAAACTGATGATTTGATCATTTTTAGCTTATGACTTGTTGGTTCATTTTCCCAGGACTTTTGCCAACCGAAAAATGCTTATGTGTATAGAAGATTTTCAACTCAATATCACATATTCTTTCACCTCTACAAATATCTGCTGTCACTCATGGGACACCCTGCAATAGTTATAAGGACGACATGGGCTATGCTGACAAATTAATGTGACTTACCTGTTGGTGACGACGATGGTAGGAATGAGACCTCGGCTTGTTTCAGTGTTCGATATCACCTTCTTCCCCTGGTGTGGGTGGCGCCAACCTTGGTAACAACTTGTGTATTCTCCGTGACTACCAGTAATGGTAGTCACGGAGAATTAATTACTGGTGTGCCCATCATTCGCACCGTCGTAGCCATGAACGGCAGAGATATGGTCGTTGAAGTGCTTTTATTTACCAGTGACACTTCTCTCACCATGCTTAATAATATTAACTATCTTCATGACATTCTTATTGTTATCAATGATTGCGGAATTCACGATGTTATGCTCCACCCACACACAGCCTGTTACTAGACTAACCCCCACCTCCTTTATCACCCCCCCCCCCACACACACGCACACTACAGTTGGCCGACCATAGCATTTCCCCCAGCTGTTTCGAAACTTTAGACTCAAGGCTATTCGAAACCTCACTGTGGCTGGGTATTGGACACGATTTTTGTGCATGATAGTACAGTGGCCAAAGGTAAAATAATATTGCAAAGTTCAGCTAAAGATCATCTAACTGGTTTGTATATTGACCAGATGCTCACCTCACAAGCGAGTTGATCCGGGTTCGATTTCTGGGAAGGGTGAACTATGGGCAAGTTTCTTTACGCCATTTGCCTCTGTTTACCCAGTAGTAATTGAGGACTTGGATGTTTGCGATCGTGTTCCGGGGGAGTGCAGTTGGTGAGTTGCTCAGTGTTTTCACACTAATCCTTGACTCTGAGTCATGCAACTCGTTAAATTAGGGTGTAGCTATTGTGTTGGCGACAGATTCTACTCCTTAAACAAATTTATACCTAGGTGGCCCTAGGGCTGGCCATCCTCGAACACGAAGGGCAACTATTAATTACTATTATTATTATTATTATTATTATTATTATTATTATTATTATTATTATTATTATTATTATATTGACCAGTTTAGAGTCGATATTAATTAAGGTATCGTGTGCCGTCTCCCAGTCAGTGAGACACTTAAATCAGATTTTGTTTGTATATAGATTTTTGTCATTTCCTTATTGCATTGAGTTATGTTGTATATATGAGAAATGCTTAAGATTTATAAATGTCTTATGTATCTTTATGTGTTTAAAATGCAATTTAAATGTTTTTGATAAATAACAGTGGGTCTTGTAGGCATGACTGCCCTATAACGACAGTGTGGATACAGCACTATGTTTACTAAGTACTAGAACTAGACCGCTTTCACTTCCCAACTACAAAATAGTTAACCATTTACAGTTTTCCTCAGTTACTAAAAAAAAAACCCCAGCTAACTTCTGTAGCCTCGCATTGGAGTCACGGCAACAACAATTAGTACTAGTTCCAGTTACAGTATTTACAGTCACTATAACATAAATTTTCAAGGAAAGGACAACCCGTAATTCAGTTATCTGGCCGTAATTTTTGTAGCTCACTCATGCTGCCAATTCAAGTGGCATTTATAAATTAATAAAATTTCTACCTGCGTCAGTACGTTTTGTAATACCAGTCAAAACACATTAAAAACGTCTTTACAACTCAAACTCTTAATTATGGCATCGTGTCAAAAAACTTCAATTGGGGTATTATGTCAAAATAATGTGAATCCTTCAACTGTTCATTTAAACTGAACATAACGTAAAATCTACTTTACACAATGATGATGTATATGGCTAATTTAACATCTGAAATTGGTGGTTACGTTTATGATTTTCAAATGATTTTCTTTCATAGTCTATACGGTAGATCCTAACACAAGCGATCATATTTACGATAAGAGTCAGGCTTCCTCAACAACTCTGTTGATGTCGTTGATTTATTCTATCCACGATAAACACAGAATAATTTATTTTAACCAGAGGCTGAAGACATAAAAAATGGCACTTAATTTTTGTTCTGGGTCACATTTGTTGTAATGCGTGAAAAGCTTACAGTTACTGTGGAAACTGCTTCTTTTTACGGAAATACAACAATGTATTGTCTAATGGTAGGCCCTGCTGCCATATGGCATCACAAAAATTGTGACCAAGTCCCAGGTTGCTGATCTGACTTTCTGCCTCATTTACACACAATTGCAGGGTTTCATTTGTTTCTCTTACTTTGTCAACACAGCATACATATACCGTTTCTCACTATTTATCCGTTTCTTAATTTTTTTATGTCATTATTATTATTATTATTATTATTATTATTATTATTATTATTATTATTATTATTATTATTATTATTATATTTTCGCCCGCAGGGCCTGATGTGGGTCATTGACCTGTGCCCTGTTGGGCTAATCCCGTAAAAAAGAAAGAAAGAAAAAAAAATCTGCACGTACTTTAAACTGCGTGCCTCAGTCTGTACACATGTTGGACTGTATACCTGCGATTAAAAGCTGCTTCGGAAGAAATTGGTGGATAAGTGACGCTCCAAAAGTCACGGCCACCGGTCGTTAAGAGATGCACCCAACAGTGAAGTTTTATTGGCTGTCGCTCACCACAGTCACCCGACAGTGACGTTTTCATTGGTTGCCCATCACCACAGTCACTGTAATTAGTAAGACAAGTAGCTGGTACAGGGGAAGACGAGACATTATTTGCTGTACTCTCAGTTGAAAAGTTGTTCAATCTCAAGATGTGTGAAATATGAACGCAAGCATTGTTATGAGTTGGAATATGATTACTACTGTATATTGTAAAAAATAAGGCAATGCCATATACTGTATAACTAGAGTGTGCTCAAGTGAAGTGCTAATTCACAATGGTTGGTGCACATCTCAAAACTAAACTTTAATATTCGGAATTAATAATTGTTGAAATACATGCAAACATGCGTAGTAACACACAACGTTTTTGTATTCCCTCGCCACCCGGATCAACTTTTACTTATGTGTTGGCATTGTGGTTCTTTTCAGGTCACATTCGTCACTTCCCACACTGACAGCAGAGAAACCGTTGCGTCAGCAGTACCTCTTGGGAAAAGTAACCCAACACAGCAGATGGTTGAGGGAGGCACTCACTGCCCCAGCTGCATCACTTGGCACAGTGTAGGAGATGGTTAGCCAAGATGAGAGATGGTGGATCTCATCTACAGTACACCCAAAGACTATAAATGGGAGACAGGAAAGTTAAATTCAGTGCTTTCCAGACTTGTGTGGCTGGCGGATGTTATCCTTGCGCCATGTGCAACTGTGTCAATATAATGGAAAGAGATATATCAACATGTACGTACATGTTTGAAACTTATGCTTGAATATGAATGCAAAAGAAAACAAATATAAGGTAGATATATATGAGTAATGTAAACACTAATGCGAAATATATGGAAAGGGACGAAAAATAACCTATTATGTACAGTATTTAAATGCAAAAATAAATATAAAAATGATAAACTAATTTTCCCATGGCATGGAACACAGCTGATACATATATGTATGTGCCTTAAAATATATATTGTGGTATAGGACACAGTACGTGATTAAATATCTAGCAACAATACGTATCTGGAAGTATCTGGCTTATGTAAACTTTGTGGAAGCTCAATAGCTGGCACCACTGCTCGACCGCACTGTTGTGCTTCTGGTAACCACTTTCTTATACGGTACTTCGTATATTGACTCACAACGGAGATGTATCCCCCATCAGAAGTGCAAATGTGTTTCTTAGGCTGATTAAACTTACTGTAGAGTGTGGAGTGGCGAGTAATATAGAACAGTTTACAAGTGGTGGGATTGTACAATGTACGGGTATGTAAACTCAGGAAGACTGACGGTAATATATTTATTACATGAAAGGGAACTGCAAGAGGAAAATGGTGTGCAATGAAGAGATGAAAAACATAATTTAAACACTTGCGTGGAGTAACAAGTCGATTGATCGTGGAAGTGCGTCCTGTAATCATCCACGATGGCATCTCTGTGGGAGGGTGAGGATATGCTGGTGAAACTCTCCACCATACTCAGGTTTTGCTGTGACTACGCCACGCCACAGCAGCCCCCCAGAGTAGGCGACCTACTCCCCGGCTACCACCGAGGCCAGGTGCTCGACGAGCTCTCCGTCACCGACCATGACCCGTGGGGACAGCTGCTCCTCAACCACCGCCTGGTGAGTTACTCCACTCCCTTTAATTTACTTGATCCTCTTCGCCTCTGACGGCTTGTTAGCCACTTGGGCGGTCGGTCACTTCTCTGTTACGCACTGTTGGCAAGTGTCTGAACCTGAGCCAGCGTTAGTCAGCTCTGATCTCGAATGAGCTCACTCTCGGCTTCGCCACAACAGAGTCTGGCATATTATTAAAGAGTTCATAGCTTTCACTGAGGTGCTTAAAAGACTTCTTTTAAGACTTCTATTGCCCGCCTATAGAAGCCGGGTAACTGAGTTTCTGGTGGCCCTGTTTTGGAAATTTTTAATCATCTGACGGTCTCGAGGTATCTTAAAGTATAGATTGAAAATAAATTTACAACTCAACATATTTGCACGTTAAAAAACATAACGAAGTATGAAGGCATCACTAAACCACCTTGCGAGATTGGTGACACCTCAAGAGGGTACCCACTTAAGGTAGGTTATACACCATTACTTTGATCGGAATCTTAGTCTTTGAATGCAATTGTTAAGTTCTTATATAAATCTAAGTCATATGGGGTTCTTGAACAATAATTTTGACTGACAATTGAATTGAAACAATTTCGACTGTTTTTGTGGAACAAACCGTTAAATGAAACTTTAATTTGATTTTTTTTTGTTAGTTCGACCTTACACCACATATTTCAATGTTAATTTAATTCGTATTGTTCATCAGTTCTATTCTTAGCCTTTAGTTTTAGCACTAGCATGATCTTATGCCCTTCATTCTATTGTGGTCAAGTGTTATGATAGTGTCTCTCTCCACCTTATCTTGATGTCTGACAATATATCTAGGATACTGTACTCAAGGGTTCGAAGCTAAATATTTTTCTTGAAGATATTGGCTAACTGACTCAGTCACGACACAACACTGGTGGCCAGGGGCATCGCCAGCCAACCAGAGCCCCGGGACTAGGCACATTGTCAGACCCCGTCTCCCCCTCTACCGAAATCCAAAAAAAGTGTATCACATTTATAAGGTGTAGTGTAGATAAATTTATAAAATATACACCAACGATGTCCTTACATTTAGAAAAAAAAATAAAATAAAATGCAACACATTTTCGAATGAATATTGCTGATCACAACACTTAAATAATAAAGTTTTGAGTTAGAAATTAAAAAAACAAATATAAGCAAATAACCGACCAACAGTGCATATAATCGGGGAGCCCCCTAGTAAGCACTGCCCCCGGGGAAACAGCCCTGCCTCCCACCCACCCGCCCCTGACTACGCCCCTGTTGGTGGCTAATATTGCTAAGCAACTGCACTGAGCTCACTGTAATTAGATGGATTATCTTTTTTCCAGTTTAAGGAAAAAAAATAACTTATTTTATTTGAGAATCAGGGCCAGGGTGACAACACGGGTCGTGTGACCTCGTCCTTAGGCATTACTCTCATTTCAGTGACTCCCTTTTACAGGAGGGTCCTCGCTATACCATCCTCCCCACCATCACGGTCGTGTCTCCATGGGACGATGATGACGCTGCACACCATTTGCTGCATGATCAAGCCATCGGCGGGAGCAACGCTGTGAACCACATTATTGCGCCCACGCGCGTACTGCCACATCTGCCTGATGCGTCCACGTCCTCCTCCTTTCAACGGTCTCTTGTGAGCGACGCCGCCCTCAACGCCACTCAAAGATTCTACGACGCCTTACGAGCGGTGCTGCATGGTAGCGGACCTGGCACCATCCCTGCTCTTGGGTAAGTAATGCTTTTACTCATAGAGCTAGTATTGTCAGCACATGCTGGTGTGGTCAGGGCGGAAAGTCACTGCCAAATAAATAGGTGTCGTCACTGATGAATGGCGTAACTGATAATGGCGTCACTGATGTTCCTGGTGTTAAGGGCGTGTGTATTGGGAAAAAAACACACACACACACACACTACTTACTACTACTACTACTACTACTTTGCTGTCACTCGGTATCGAGTATGACAATCATCCAGCTATGATACTATCGTATGAGTTATTAAGGATTTCACCTATGTTGGTGAGTTCTGAGGTTACTACAGAGGCCCATAAGGGACCGGTAGGATTGTTCACAGATGTTGCACATGTGGGGGCTACATCTAGTGCCGGAGGGGCGGCGGCAGCGACTTTCCGGCGTTGGCACTTGTCTGCCTCGTTTTGCAGTCGGGCTAACTCGAAAGTATTGACACCTTCTCGTGTGGTGCTCCTCCAAGCGTTACGGTGCGGAGTAATCGTCTCCCAGGTGAGGGGGGTCGATTTGGTACTTTTTCAGGTAAGTCTAAAGACTATCCTTATACCTTTTCAGTTGCCCACCAGCGTTACGTTTACTATTCATTAGGTGAGTGTAAAGTAGCTGCTTTGGCAGTCTACTGTCGTCCATGCGGGTAACATGGCTAGTCCAGCATAGTTTTTCATGAATATTGGTAGCCTCGATGCTCCTACAGTTGGTGTCAACAAGAATACTGACATTTGTTCTCTTGTCTTCCCAGCGAACTCTGAGGATGGAATGTAGACTACGTTGGTGAAAGTTTTCTAGTGCCTTAAAGTGCCTCCTGTATGCGACACACGTCTCGCTGCCATAGGGCAGAGTGGGGAGAACCACTGCTCGATATACGTGCAACTTTGTAGATAATTTCAGCTCCCTATAGTTGAAGACACTGTTTCGGAGTCTGCCAAAGGCTTGAGATGCACATCTGATCCGTTGCTGAATCTCTTCATCGATGTCCGCGGTGGTGGACAGGTGGGAGCCGAGATACCGAAAGTGGGTAACATTAGAGAGGGTAGTACCGTTAAGCTGGATGGATGGTGAAGAAGTGTCTCAACCAGGGGCAGGCTGAAAGATAATCTGGTTCTTCCATACTGTACATTCACCCCATGGCCGAAGTGTGCATACGCATCTGCATAGGTGTTCAGGTTCTACAAGGGGTCGCGTTCAGTGTAACCGACAAGGGAGAGGTCGTCTGCATACTGAAGTTCAGTTATGGAAGCTGCCGACACCCTTGTTCCTGCCTGGAGTCATTTTATGTTGAAAAGACCATTCATCCGGTACTCGATGTCCACCCGCCGGCCAAATTAGCACTGGCACGAGTAAGGAAGGCAGCCAAGAAAATGGAAAAGAGAGTTGGTGCTAGTACACTCCCTTATCTAACTCCATTTGGATGGGGAAGAACTCAGACTGGGTGCCATTGTGCAGGACACTGCCGTTCATGCCATCGTGGAGTTGCCTCACAATGGCAATGAATTTTGATGGGCAGCCAAAACGGCTGAGGGTCCACCAGAGGGATTCCCTGTTGACCGAGTCGAAGGCCTTGGTTAGGTCAATGAAAGCCATGTACAGGTCACGACGCTGTTCTCTGCACTTTTCCTGTATCTGGCAGGCAGCAAAGATCATGTCAGTGATGCCACGTGATGGTCTAAAGCCACATTGAGATTCTGGGAGTAAGTTTTCTGCCTCAGAAAGAGGTCTGTTTAGGAGAACTCGGGCGATAATCTTGCCAGCTACGGACAGCAGAGAGATCCCGTGGTAGTTGCCAGAGTCTGACCGGTCTTCCTTCTTCTTATAAATATTGACGATGGAGTAATCTTTAAGAGCTTGGGGGATTTCCTCCTTTTCCCATATATTCTCCAGGAGAGAGTGGAGACGGCTGATAAGCAGAGGTACTACTGGTTCATACATCTCGGCTGGGATTCCATCAGGCCCTGAGGCTTTCGTATTTTTCATCTGTTTGATGGCAGTAGATACTTCATCCAGGGATGAAGAATAGCTGAGGTGGGTCAGGTCTGGTTGCTGAGGGACCTGCTGGGTAGTTAGTATATCCACATCAACATCAGTGTTTCGGGTGAGCAGTGAATGGTAGTGCCTTTTCCAGTACTGAAGGATGCCTTCATCATCTCTGATTATGGAGTTACCATCGGATGAATGAAGGGGGCTGCGCCATGAGTGATTGGCCCATAAAATGTTTTAGTGGAATTGAAAATTTGTGCATCCTGTGCTGATCTGCAAATTTTTGTGTTTCACATGTTTTTTTTTAAACCAGTTGTTCTTTAGATTGCAAAGTTCATGCTGGGCTTTTTTTACAGGGATTAGCCCGCACGGGCACAGGTCACTGACCCACATCGGGGCCTGGGGGCAATAATAATAATAATAATAATAATAATAATAATAATAATAATAATAATAATGATAATAATAATAATAATAATAATAATAATACTACTACTACTACTACTAATAATAATAATAATAACAATAATAATAATAATAATAATAATAATAATAATAATAATAATAATAATAATAATAATATTAATAATAATAATAATAATAATAATAATAATAATAATAATAATAATAATAATAATAATAATAATAATAATAATTTATGGTAAATAAATTTTATAATTAGAAAAAAAACATTGATAATAATAATAATAATAACACTGTAATAATAATAATAATAATAATAATAATAATAATAATAATAATAATAATAATAATAATAATAATAATAATAAAGAACCATAAAGAAATACAAAAAGTAAAAAAAATATCAAAGGTGTAAAACAATATATGTATGCTGTGTTGTCAATACTACGAGAAACAATTGAGACCCTGCAGTTGAGTGTAAATGAGGCAGAAAGTCAGATCAACAACCTGGGACTTGGTCACAATTTTCGTGATGCCATATGGCAGCAAGGTCTACCATTAGACAATACATTATGCTTCCAATATCTTCCCAGACGGTAGTACCTCCCTGTTTGGTAGTTGCCTACTACTTACTACCGCTTTCTTCTTGCGGAATGTATCAGCATTGGTCCGAGACTGAGGGTTGTTCTACCAGTCAGTTAAAGCAACATGTTTATCATCGACGAGTACATTGATTGCCGGGTCATTTTCATCAAACCAGTCTTGGTGTATTCTTTCGATCTGGTCGAGGGTCTCTCTGCAGGATTTTGTCATGATAGTGTCGAGAATGTCCCATTTTGTGCTGGGATTTGGGTTGTTTGTTGTTGGGTTGTTTATCAGCCCATGTTCGAGCTGCTCTCTAAAAGCATGTGCTAACTCTGGATCCTCCAGACACTTAGTGTTAAAACCTATTCTGGAGTCTTGCTGTCTTCGCCGTTTTGGGGCGACGTGAAGTGATTGCTTGGCCCTGTTGAGCCGATGATCAGTGTCGTGGTGGTCTGGGCCATCCATGACTCGGGTGATGAGGATATCTCGGCGATCTCTTTCTCTGACAATGATGGAGTCAATGAGATGCCAGTGTTTGGATCGTGTGTGTTGCTACGAACCCTTGAACTTGTCGGCCTGCCTAAACAAGGTATTGGTGATAGTGAGGTTGTGTGCAGCATACTTGGTGAGGAGAAGGCCATTGGGATTACACTTGCCTAGTCTATTTCTCCTTATGGTTCCCTGCCAAATGTCAGCATCTATGCCAACTCTGGCATTAAAGTCACCAAGGAACACAACCTTATCTTCTTTGGGGAGAGAGGTTGGCACTCTGTCGAGGTCGGCATAAGGGGCTTCCTTGAAGTCATCCTCTGCATCCGGTGTTGGGGCGTATGCACTGATGAAAAAGGCATGACGTAAGTGATTCAGCGGGACTCAGAGCGTCGTGAGGCGCTTGTTGATTCCAATAGGCATTTCAGTTAGCCTGTGTAGGCTGCATTGGCAGATGGCAAAGCCAACTCCATAAATACGGTTTCTCTCCGCAGCAGGCTTACCCTTCCAGAAGAAGGTATAGCCAGACCCCTGTTCTGTGAGTCGACCCTCGTCTGGGAGGTGGGACTCACTAATGGCTGCTATGTCGATATTATGCCTTGTCAGCTCTTTTGCCATAAGGGTGGTTTTTCTTTCAGGACTCTCATTTGTGCTAGTATCCAGACGGGTCCTGACATTCCATACAGCGACCATAAGAGGTTGTATAGTTTGTTTTTGTTTTGATCTGTGATTATGATTTTGTTTTCGACCGCACAAGGATGACCTTACTGGATGCGGTTGCCCAGTCAGGTTGTTTTTTTACTCAGGCTATGTTTAGGGCACCTTTTCTTGCCCAGTCCCCATGTGGGGTGAGCAGAATGGCTTCTCGAAAGGCCTGTTCAATTGCACAGACAGACCCGGATTGTACTGCTGTCCAGATCCTAGTGTATAAACGACCATCTTATCTGTGCCGCCCAAGTGCAGAGTTGTGACTAGAGAGTCCCGATAGTCATCTCTGCCTGTCTCTGTCGCCACTCATCCATTGCCATAGGTCTTTTGGGGGTATAGGGGTTTTGAAGATGATGAGCGGTATGATGAGCTGGATGATGGCTGCACATGAATTGGTTTATGTGGTGAGGCAGGAGCGCAGGATGCAACCACACATCTTGGACTCTCCCTTTTCCTCATCCAGTGGTGCAAGTGTTGCAATGACTGGAGAGTTGCAATGGTCTGCTGATAGCCCAGATTGTTGGGTTTCGCCTTAGTAGCCTGACCATCATGTATTGCCTTCGTCCACCGGTGTAGTCGTTGGGTTCCCATGGTGTTCACCTCTCCTGCCTATACCGCCATTGAGGTGTTATTGGAGCTCTGGAAGCATGTCTGCCTGATGCGGAACTCCACCACAGAGTTTTCGTTCGAGGTTTACTCCCGTAGCCTTATACGGTTAATCCGTAAAGCAACTTGGCAATGGTTGGTAGGCACCAGAATATGTTCTCATGCCAGTGGGCCTATGCGCCATCCCTCTGGGGCCCACTACTACTCCATGATCCCCTGCTGGTCTAGCCTCTGCCCACGAGGCACCCAGTTACCTTGTGTTGCCACGAGGAGGCACAGCAGGAGTCTTGATGGTGAACACACACACACACACAGTTTATAAGAGATCACGAGAAGTTCTTTTGTCTTGAAGATGCTTAGGTCAGCTAAGTGGACACTATCTGGGTGATACTAGGCTGGGTCACATGGTTTGGTCACACGGAGGGTTGGTTCAGCGAGTGAGGGATGTTTATGCTTCGTTATTACAATACTCTTGTCTCTAAGGTGGGAGTTTTCTTTTGTCAGCACCTGGGAAAGCTGGGCTGTCAGGACACTTGGGCGTGCTCAATATGGCTGCTAGAGTACAGTACAGGGTTGTTATAGCTTGATGCTTGTTGTATGATGTGGTCTTTGTCACTTGTTATAATTGTCTCTCTCTTTCTAGATAATATACAATACAATACACTGTGTTCTTTGTAATTGGGAAAATTCTGGTGAGCTTTCTTTAACACTAGAACACTTGAAGACTTAAATGCTTGGTTGGTCACTAAGCTAAATACCACTAGAAATGTTACTAAAAAATGTGTTCTTGGTTCAGATTGCCCGGATTTCACAGTTATAGACACTTTGCAGCTTTCTTCTATATATTATTATAAAAATATAGGTCACATAATGTATTAGTTTATAGCAAACTAATGAGCACTTCGCGATTTGTCTGTTTTATCACAGAGAGGGAGGAGGACAGCTTGGAGTATCAGAGACTCCTTGGTGACACGTGTAAGTGTGTTGTCATGTCTAGCTATCGACTGACAGCAGCTGATAACAAATGTTATGTCAGCTAGATTATGAAGCCGAGAGGCCAATTGAAAGTTACTTGAGTGTGGCGTGATATGAAAGTAATTAGTACTCCTCAAATGTTAATGAGCCCGGGTGATGTAATAAATATAATGCTAGGTGTAAATAGCAAACATTTATAAAATATTTTCTGCCCATATATTTGACAGAGGCTGTTACAGCTTAGATTAAGTTAGATTTGGTAAGTTTAGGTCAGGTTAGTGTAACTTGTTTAGAGAAACCTTGGCCTGTTCAGGTCAGGGTTAGTTTGATTTAATTTATGTCAGGTAAGGTTTGTGTTTGTTTAAATTGGGTTAGGCTAGGTTTAACTTGGCTAGTTTGGTCAGTTTAGGTTAATGTTACTTAGTTTAGATTACGTTAGGGTAGTTGGGGTTAGATCACCTCACGTTAGTCAAAAGTTATAGTTGGGTGGGTAAGCTTATATTCAGTTTGTTTATCTTACGTCTAGGTAGATTAACTGCAGATTGAATTAGAATAGTCTAGGTTACGTTATTATTAGGTTAGACTACCTTATCTTGGTAAGTTAGGGCAAGGAAGGTTAGGACAAGTTAAATTAGGTTAAATTAGGATTAGTTTGTTTTGGTTTGGTCAGGATACCTAAATTCGTTTAGGTTTGGATAGTCTTGATTAGATATGTTAAGTTTATTCAGGTTAGGTTAGTTTTACCTAGTTAGATTTAGCAGGGTTAGTTTAAGTTAGGTTTAGTTGGATTATTTTACGTTGGGGTAAGTTTGTTTTGAGTAATTTAGGAGAGTTTAGGTTAGGTTAGTTAAAGTTAGGTTAATTTGATCTTAGGTCAGGGTAGATTTAGTTGGGTTTGTTTTAAGTTAAGTCTGCCTAGCTCAGGTTAGGTTAAAATAAATTAGAGTAGCTTAGGATAGTTTAAGTTAAGATTAAGTTTAGGCTAGGTTAGGTTAAGTGGGTTCTGGCTAGTCTAGGTTAGGTTTGTGTGAATCAGTTTAGATTATTTTTGGTTAATCTATTTTAGTTTGAATTAGGTTAGAATGGGTTAGTTTATATTATGTTAGGTTTGGTTAAGTTGGATTGATTCAAATTAGGTTAGGTTAAGAAGGGCTAGATAAATTAGGTTAGGTTATCTTAGGTTACGGTGAGTGAGGTCAAAGCTGGTAATTCGGTGTTTTCTTCCGTCTCCAGGCAGGAATCGCGCGCTGGAGGGGATGTTGTGGTGGCGGAGTTGGCCCCTCACGTCCAGGAGACCTCTGAACCCGCCCTCGTCCCTCACACCGACCCCCACCACAATGCATCCATGTCACCCCTCCTCCAAGTATGTATGCCTCAGGTCGTGTAGGTGAGTGTCAAGACCTCCAGGTTAATAAGTCTCGGTTAATTATTCCTAAAATATGCATTGACAAGTGTTTGTTGTGTCCTCACAGATTAAAGTTTTCCTCATATGTGTATTCCAGGCCTGGGAGTTTACTGCCAATCAGCGGCCTATCGTGTTTTTGTTGACAAATTAGTCATTATTTATCAGTGCAAACCAGGTGTGAAGGATTACCCTGTATGTTTCTGACAATGGTGAAGATACGAGTTTTCTAAGATGTAAATAGCGTAAAAAGGAAAACTGGGAGTTTTATCACGACCTTACACAAATTGAACTAACTAAACTCAAATAGCCCTTCCGTAAATCATTACATGGTTTAAGCGGCTAAATTTTATTTGTTCTCCCAGTCATACGTCTAAACGTTTACATTCTGAAGTTTCCAGGTTTTGAGACTAGACCTCCCGACAAGAGACCTGTTCCTGGACCCCGTGAAGTGGCTTTCATGTGGCTATTTTCACTACCTGCTCAGTTTTAGGTTTGGTGGTGCTAGTGGTGTGTGCTACAGTTGTGGTTGTGCAAAGATCCAAGGGGGGGGGGGGGCTGCTGGTGATAGTGGTGTGTCCTTACAGGTGTATCATCACAGGTGTGTGTTACAGGTGTGTGCGGCTCTCGGGGTGCTGGTGGTGGTGATGGTGGTGCTGTTTCACTCTCACCACTTCCGGCGGGACTGTATGACTGAACGACGAGCCTTGAGACGTGTTGCTCGTCGCTACCACGTCACGCGTGCCCAGGACGACGTGGAGAAAAATGACTCCTCCGAGGTGACTGATGTGACGCTGTGATGTAACGGATGTGACGCTGTGATGTGATGGATGTAATGATGTTTCGACTTACGTGACGGACTTTATATTATGCAGTGACAAACATAACTGATGTAATAAACATAACGCCGTAACGTGACTTGACGCTGTAATGTGACGGAGTTGATAATGAGATTTTGTGAGCGAAACTGTAATCTGTCAGACGTGGTGCAGTGACTGACGTGACGGATATAACACGATGAGACAGATGTTATGATACCATGTGATGTAGATTACGCTAAGATGTGATGACCTGACTGTGATGTGGTGTGAGGGACGTAATGCTGTGATGTGTCGGACATAATTCTAATATGACATATTTGGTTCTATGAAGTGACAGATATGACGTTGTGATTTGATGAATATGATTTGCTAGGCATAATGATGTGATATTTCGGACATGATGTTTTCCTATGACACAGCGCTCTCAGGTCACACAGTGATGGTATAAAGAACTTCATAATGCTTGATGTTGAGTGTGACGCTGTGAAGGATATTGATATAACAGTCATGATGCACTCTAACATACATTACTTCCTCACCTGGATCAATTGTGACGGATGACACGTTGCTGTGACAGACACGACACTGTCACACCACTGATGTGATGTTTAATTTTAAAAACAAAGTAATCCCAATTTAACATGGATATGAAACTAATATAACAAAGTTGTAGCACTAGCATAATGTTTATAACCCTTTAACAGTACACTAACGGAAAGGCCGATGTAATGCTTATAAGGCGCAATTATAACGTTGATGATAAACTAATAGAGAAATATGGTTACCCTATTAAATTGTGGAGACCTTACTTATTCTGTGGAATTTCCTCAATAACTTTTAATGATAACTGCCAAGGCATATATTATCTGGTGATGTTGATTCAGTCATGTTTTAAGGTCAACTGCATACTGTACATTATGCGATGGTTAAGCATGTGCACGAGCCTTTCCAATGAGTCTATAGATAGTGTATATATTAAGAACACTGAGGCTAAATGAGTAGTTGTAGGTGTCCAGCTGTCAGTTGTTTCTGCTATGGCAGCCACTGTCTGAACCTCTGCTGGTTCACAGTCAATTACTCCTCTGTTTCCTGGTTACTGTGAAAGTACTGGGGAATTATTCGGTTGTCTTCCATATCTGTAATTAAAATACCTCTTTGTTTATTTTTATATGATTGAAAACATCTATTTTCACCTTTTCTGCACAAAAAAGATTGTTTACTATAGTGATAATTATTTTGGTATCGGCAAATGTAAAAATACTGCAGCTACTTTCCACCATCACCAGGTGGTTAACTCCTCTTGTTAGGGCTCCTGAACCACGTGTAAAACATAATTAACAACAGCACCTGGAAGCTCGGCTGAAACACCAACAGCAGTGAGATAAGATAAACCAGTGTCTGAAATTTATGTGACTTATATAAAGTCTGATTTAATGTTCTTTGCCAGTTGAATGTTAACGTATTTGCAGATTTTTAAACTTAATTATATTTTCGACGATTACAGATTTAGTGGGCTTAACAACAGGAAGGGAAAATGGTTTTCGTTTGTTTCAGCTATTGAACAATTAAAATTTATAATAAATTTTACCTGAAAAGCATTTTTGTTTCACAGTAAGAAACATGCATTAATGGTATTTACCAGCATAGCTATTCAACCAATAATTCATTAAACTTCTCTGCATGCCTGAGCAGTTGTTAAGTGTTGTCAGTGAAAAGACGAGTATTTTATAAGTCTGATGTTACATATATTAATAACTAATAAATCCCTCTGTATGTCTGGGCACCTGTTTTAATTTTTTCAGTGTTACTATTCCAGCAGAGCAACTGTACCTGTAGTTGTGGCAACACGAACTACCAGTTATTCATACGTAGATGAGACCCTGAATGGGATAATGGAGGAAATAGCTATTTTAACTTCTGTTGCCACCACACACTCAATATGTGTTCCCAAATAATTACCATTAAAATAATCAGTATATGGGAAACAGAGAGGTGAGTAGATGAGTTTATCAAAATTTGTATGTGAATATATTTCAGCCTGTATTGATATGTGTTTTATTTATATCATGAGGTACTTTACTAACAAAAAAAGGAAACAAACTCATTATTCCCGAGTGCTCTCACCTCAACTCCTGTATTGCTGACTGTGAACACACCAGGAGTTCAGGCTGAAGCTGAACTCCCACTACTATTCATCTTAGGCACTAGAGCTCTTATAATTATATTCATCGATAAACTTAATGGCAAGCCTTACCGTACGATGCCGTACATATGCTTAACCATTGCACGATGCACAGTATGTAGGCCTAACTGACATGACGCTAAGACTTAGGTCAACAATATCACCAGGCTTTACTAAGTATACAAGACATGCCTTGGCAGTAAATAGTTCTGTGATCATTACAAGCTATGGAAGTTGTGCTAAAGCATACACCATCATCTCATACATTGGTCTGACACTAATATTGTACAATGTTGTAAAAGTAATGAGATGCGAATGTAAAACTAGTTTTACACTTGAGTGCAGTAACACTTGCGTTCATGAGACAGTAACATGACTCCATGTGTGAAATGATCCAACATGATAGGAAACCGGTGTTATAATACAGTAGCTGTGCAAAAAAAGGTACCCTGAATTTCTCTGTGGTTTGTGAAAAATGTCGGAAAAATGTAGATGGACGTACAAAAGCCTGTCAGATCTCTAGATATAGCACACCAACATTGTCATACCGTGAAAAAAGTGTACGTATCGACTAGGTCCATACAGTTCACTTGCACACCTTTAACTTCCTTGTATTTCATCCAATAGCTTCCAAAATTGGTTTGAATGTTGCCAATAAGTCGGAAAATATGTGACTAGCATTTCATAAGAATCCCAATGTTGGTTAGGAAGTTAATCAATGCCCAATCTCAGTTACGGCAATGAAAATTCACCAAATTTGGCGCAGGAGTCTCTTAAGTTGTTTAGGCCCTAAAGCAAGAAGTAGAGCATCAAGTAGGAGTCTTCTACCTTGTATTAGTGCATAGGTAATTGAAATAGAATAATTATGATCTTTGAATTATCTCCATATTTTTATTAGTTTATGAGAAATTTCACGAATGGTATTATGTATAACATGTATTATGTATTATTATAAAATTGCATTAGCGTTTTTCCGGGATCATGAGTTAGAGACATTTGCTTGTAGTGCACAAGCATTTTAATGTGAGTGGCTCTATAACCAGAATAATAATCTGTATGGTGGGTTTATTGCTTGGAGTGGAATTACTGAGATATTTGAAACAGGCGGTGACTACAAAAGATGCTGAGAGCAGTATTGTTGCAATTGAGAGCTTCACGAAGGAATCACAAAAACTCAGACACGATTTCAATCAGTTTACAGAGATGGGGTATAAATAGAATGAATCATTCAGATTCTGGCATACTTTCATCAAGACGAGCTAACTGCTACAATATTTGATTCGCAGTGACAGGGAGGGTAACTGGAAGCTGCATCTGGCAGCACTACAAGCTTTTATACCCCTCTTTACAGCTATTTATGCAACAAACTTCTTAGATGGGCCTCGGTGTATCAAGAAGATATACGTCAGCTTCCAACAACAGCTCATGAGTTACATCAAACTCTATTTAGGGTAACCATGTGAAACGAACTCCTGGTGACTTCAAGGCAGTGAAAATGGATATGTCTCGAAAAGACTATTACTAGATCACAGAAGAGCATAGCAGGAATCATTGGCAGCACTCGGAAGAAAAATTTGTCACAAAATGGGAGTATTGATCTATCACGAAATGATGGCAGTCACTGACTTACACAGGTTACTTAGTAGTATAAACACAAGCAAATGAACAAATTGCGAATCTTGAGCTCACTAATAGTGAAACAAAGGCAGGAGACAAACGAGTGCAGTCAATGTTATAATATATCAAAGACCATTAGAACCCGTTTGATCCATCTCCCACTGACAGTCTGCTACGAAATATACTGACACAGGAAGTTGTGCCTGATCACAGACATGGGGTAATTGTAATCGATTACAATCGATTACAGTTTTTGAAGTAATCATAATCGATTACATTCTTATTTTGGCAAAGCAATCGTAATCATAATGGATTGCATTCAAAATGTAATCATAATGGATTGCATTCAAAATGTAATCATAATCGATTGTATTCAAAATGTAATCGTAATCACGATTATTTTTACGATTACACTAGTAAGTACATACCGGTAC